TCACCTAGCATGTGCAAGGCCCTGGGTTTGATCCTCAGCACCACATAAAAATAAAAATAAAGATATTGTGTCCAACAACAACTAAAAAATAAATATTTTTTAAAAATTGATTGAAGTTGTGAGTGAACAGCAGGTCTTCACTTTAGAATAGCTAGCTGGGCTTTTAAGTTAGGGGACCTCAATTTCAGTATCTATGTCTCTCAGATTCCTCAGTGGACATTTCCATTTCCAGCCTGGTTACCAGTTCTGCAGGAAGCATGTAAATGGACACTTATTTCCCTTTTTTGATATTGAATCCAGAGTCTCAGCAGCATTTGGGGTCCCAATGCAGAGATGGTCTATTTGCCCTTTTCAAATAAATGTTCAGGCTTTAGCTGGGGCTAGGGAGGGGCAACTGCCCAACTATATAGAGTAGAAAATGGAGTTTTAGGACTTATGATACAAACTTTCAACCAATTCTCCCTTAACCTCAATTTCTGAGGAACTTATACTACCAATTCCTGGGATTCTGTGACTTTAATCAGGTTGTTTCCCAACTTTCAGTATAAAGGTTCAGTTCAAGTCTAAGCTACACATGCCACAGCCATCAGATTCTCAAGTCCCAAAATTTTGTTGCTATTGTCTCCTTTTATATTCTCCCCATTCTTGTATTATGCCTCTGAAAGTTCTTAATATTGTTTTTCAGGTATTTAGGAGGTAAATAAGTCATGTGTTCAATCCATCATCTAYACCCATAACAACATTTCAAAGCAACATGCTTACAAAGGAGCAAAGTAGTATACCAAAAATAAATGTAGTAGTAACCTTTGGAGACAATGAACCACAAAATAAATGTGAATCCACATGATACTATTGAATCAACAGCTTAAATGAAACTAAAAAATTAGATATCATAGCAAATTACTCTTCTGATACTTCTTCCCCTTAGGAGAAAATTATATATAATTTTGGTTTCCACATTTAAGAGACATATGGGAAAACTCTGGAATAATGGAACCAAAAACTGATTTACCAAAATATTAAGCATATGAATGAAAGTTATTTAACCTTAAGACTAAGAAGTAACAACATTATCAAGTGTATGACTGATTTCCCAAGGTAAATATTCATTAACTACTATTTGCATAAAGGAGTAACAAAAGAAAATAAGATGATGTTATACTTAGAAAATGGGCAATTAAACATTGGGCAATTAAACATTGGGCATTAGGAGAAAAAGATGATTTTCAAAGAGTCAAATTCCCTCTGTGAAACAGAGAAGAGATGTGGACCAGAAGATATATGAATGTCTCTTCCTATTCTGAATAATGTAATTTATCATCACATTGATGTCTTTTTCCAAGGAAGTCTGTTTGTTAGACTACTGTGGTTCTACCTTGACAGATGGCATGTGTGTTTGGTTTATGTACACCTCTAATCTAAACTCTTTAATTTCCTGCCTCATTAGAAAGCATAGCCAAAAACAGTTTAATTGACTGAAGATTCCTGAAAACAGAGGAAAGGCAATTAAGATAACAGGATTTTACAATTCATTTTGATGCTCAGAAACATATTATTTTAAATTATAGAGCATTAGGGTAGGGTTCAGAAGAGGCAATTAGCCTTATGCTAAATGACTATTTCTGAATGTATCTTAAAGCTAGATAATTTACAGCTAGATTTAAATTGTTTTTCTAAAAATATTAAAAAACACCCAAAGCAAAATACTTGTAAATTCAATTCATACATTAAGGAGGAAAAATGAGTACTGTGAATATTTATATTTAGACATTGAAGGCATTCAAAGACACTTAAATTATATATTTGACCATAGTTGAAGTGCAAAACAATACTACACATTTCAATGTATGAACATTGAATTTCCTGCTTCAAAAAGCAGTTTATAATATAATTTACATTCAACATGATTTGCAAAACTAATTGCATGTTAATTACATGTTTGTTTCATCTGTTACTGGAATTAAATATATTAAAATCAACAAAACATCCCAGGTAGAGACTCAGGTGATAAACATTTTATGATAAGGAAGATAATTTAATGTCATTCCTTGGGATGAGCACTATCAGATCCACATGTCTCACAGTCATCATTAAATCTATGTTCCCATTTTGCTTCCTTTCTGACTTGGGATGTAAGTGTAGTTACTCTCTGATCATACAGCTAATGTTTAACATATGTTGGGATTTCCCCCTTAATTCTCTACGAATTTTTTTTATACTTTCTTAAGTAGTTTAAGGGCCTACATTGTTTCTAATATTTTATTGATAGCCCATAGTAAAACAAGTTTCACTCCAAAGCAATTTATCAAATTTGTAAAACATACATATTTGCTTAAGTGAAGCATAACTTTGCAGTTCAGCTTTGTAAATGAACTAAACTAAGTGAGAAGATTGAAGGGAATTGAAGTAATTTCTTACAAGGTCTGCATGATCTGGCCTATGTGTTTTCTAACCAGCAGTTTCTAGTATGTTACCATCATTTGGTCTTTATGTAGAAGAAAAAAAAACACTAACTTCATCTGTAAGAAATGCTTCTGGAAGATTTATCTGAAGGAAACCCAGGCTGATTATTTTACATAGATTTCTTATGATATTCCATGTATTCTTGAAAAATTGTATTTATATCTTACAAATGAAATCATTTGAATTACTAAGAGATTTTGCTTTTTGACGATTCTATGTGAAAAGAAACATCATTAATATTTATCAGGACAAGGCTATGCCTTCCTCCAGTTTTCTATTTTAAACCTAATTATCTATAAATTAGCTTGGATATACATACATGTGTGTATCCAAGCTTATATTCATGCATATATGTGATAATATAAAATAAACAAGTTTAAATAAAGAACCCAGTGATAGATTATATTTATTATAGATCTTGATTGAATTAATGACATTATCAAAATTAATTCCAGATAGTTGGAAAATATTGAATATGCTTATGAGGTAAAATTTAACTCAATAATAGTCTATGTGGGATTAATAACCAAGAATTCAGTAGTGATAAGTATAATTCTGAATTGACTATTCAAAAAAGTAATTGAATAAAAATATCTTGTAATTATATAACATATTCCTAATCTGTTCTATCAGAATATTTCTAACCTGTTAATTATCAGCAAATACTCTTCAGAGTATATTAAGCTTATAAAAACAGACAATAGTTCTTATTTAAATGATCATCTTTCCCTTATTCCACAACAAGAGCAATTAAAGCAGAAAGTATAAAATCTGTCATGCAAAGTCCTGCTTAGAAAGAATATTTAGCAAATTTAACATATCTTGTTTAGAAACTTATTTTAAATTGGAAATTCTTACATTTTCCTATATAAATTCCTTAGGCTTTACTTTCCATATCCTTTAAATTTCATGAATATACCAACTTCTTATGCTTTCATCTAAAGAACCCAGTGATAAATTGTATCACATATGCTTTCATCTAAAGCCCTCTGACTAATAAGTATTAATAGTTGACCCCCAAGATGCCCATGGTAAAGGTGCTTTCACCAGCAATGGCTGAGCTGCATTGAGGAGCTTTGAGTGCTTTCTTTCTGCTTGAATCATTTCTCCAGGATCTAGAAGAACAGAGTTAGGCACCAGGCAGTTTGAATAAAGGACAAGGACAATGAGAAATCATTTTTGCTTGCTTAGAAAGTATTTTACTCACAGAAGGTTTTTGTATATCTAGTTAACATTTTTAAGTGTTCTGAATAATGTCAATTCCCCATAATTTGTGTGTTCTTAGCTTCAGTGTTTTCAGGTTCACAGAAATTTACAGAAGGACTTTGTTGTTTTCACTGTGCCTACAGCTAGAATTGAAAGAATGCTCTTCTGTACCAATGCTGAATTTTTTTCCCCTTTGGCCAAATTGGAAATTCTACTAAAACCCTGATKGAATTTCTAGTTAGTGAGCCCTTATTCAAACAGAAGTGAATAAAGAAGATATCTTAAATACCCTTATTAAGAAATAAATTCGATTTTGACAATTTATAATATTTGTCCACTATAAAGCATAAATAGTGACATAAGTGAGTGTGGAGCTAACGGCAATATTTTCAATAAACAAATCTTTATTATTAATGCAATTTTGTTCAAGGATAACAATGGTCATATACTATTGAGTTACCTGTTGCTGCAGAAGAAAACACCTACAAATGTCAGTGGCTTACAATAATAAACACTCATTAGGTTGTATTTTCTATGGGTCAGGGACTTGACGTGTTGCTTAGTTGTATGGTTCTGGCTTCAAATCTATAATTAAGTTGCAATCATGATGTCATTCAGGGCTGCAGTCATTTAAAGGCTTGATTGGGGATGATCTGCCTCCAAATTTATACACATGATTGTTGGCAGGTGACATCAATTCCTCTCTATGTGGGACTTCTTACTACGTGGCAGCTGGCTTCCTTGGCAACTAGGAAGCCATGGTATCTCTCTACTTGCACATTATTAGTTCTTTTTTTTTTTTTCCTATTCATAAGAAAACTCAGGGGCTGGGGATATAGCTCAGTTGTTAGAGTACTTGCCTCACATGCGCAGGGCCCTGAGTTCAATCCCCAGCACCACTACCCAAAAAAAAAAAAAGTCATAAGAAAACTCAGCCCTCACTCCCAACTTTGGGAGAGTCAAAGAATTTGTGAAGATATTTTAAAATCACCGCACATTTACAACATTTTTTTCTAAGTGCTTAAAAGTTATTAAAACCATAATGTAGACCTAAATTCTTTCCACAAGTCATAACCAAAAGTTAATTAACTTTCAGACTAATGTTCTAACCACTAGCCTACTTCATCTCAGGAACCCTGACAATTCAGAGCCTCTGAGTGACACAACTGTTCTATATTTAAACAACCTTATGTAATTAATTTTATGTCTCAAATACATTTAGCAGTCAGAAATTAGATGTGCTTCAATTTAAAATTCAAATTTTATATAAATTTTTTGAAAGTTTGACAAAAATATTTATTACATATTATTTTTTTCTTTCACAAATGAAGAGAGGATGGCTGTGTTTCTATCCCAACTCAAGCTGCCAGCAGCAATGTTGGCTGCTCAAGCTCATGGGAGGCCTGGACCACCAGGAAAGGATGGGTTACCTGGGCCACCAGGAGACCCTGGACCCCAAGGTAAGTCTTCAAGTGTAATATTTGTTTACCAATTTTTAACCCCCAGTGTTTACAACATGCTAATTACAGTTAATATATAATATAAAATATATAGAGAAAATAGCTTGTTAATATTTGTCTTTCTAGAAGTCAAATATTTGAAGAAATTAAATTTCTTCAAATTTAATTATCTACTATTCTAAATGCATTTTAATATTTAGTACAACAATAACAGCAATGTACATTTTCATATCATTATCAACAAATCTTATGTTTAGACATCCTTTAAGCTCTAAGTTAGACAAGACTCATCTTAGAATCGTAAGGAAACTGAGCAGTGCCTTAGAAGATTCTACTACAAATAGTCTACTGGGTCCAAAGTATATTGGGGAAAAATTTTAGAATCCTTCTGCTTTAATAGAGCTTGTAGATAGAAACTCTTCGCAAAACAAAATAATAAATTGTTCCATTGACAACAACTTGATAAGAGACATGATCTTAAATTTGGCTTGACTAAATTATTCTGATAAGGTTATGTTGTAGAATATGGTCAGCAATCAGCAAAGTGGTCAAATAGACTTGGGCTTATAAGAGTCACAAATCTGGATAAGGAAATGCCAAATTCAGTAAGTATATACCACAAAAGGCAAGACCAGAGAACCTGAGGAGACAACTAGTTCTCCCACAAAGTTATTCTTAGGAATTCTGGGGGCAGTTCACCCTGGCCAGTTTGATTAAATTCTCTAGAATCCATTTTCAGGCACCATCTACTCAAAACTATCCCCAACAGTTTCCACTTAGTGACACATCACATTCCCCATTCCAGTTATATAAAGAGATGAGTAGACACAGAGAAAAGCAGACCCCAKTGAACTGGTTTCCAGATTTAGCAGAACTATCTTGCCAACCTTAAGCACAGGTATACCTAGCAGCCCTGCCTACCAAAAACGAAAGACCCCAGACACCAGGGAACCAGTTCTGAGACTCTGGGTGAAGTCCTGAAACCATTCCCAATCCCAGAGAGTGCTCTGTAAGCCAGATGGAGGGGAAGAGAGTTTTCAGTGGCACACCCTAGGTGACTCCAGATTTTGTCCCTTGATTTACCAGAGACAACTCCTCTCTTCCACAGCAAGTAGCATTTGGAGGCTACTATGGGCAACAGAACCGGAAAGCCAGAGGACAGCCCCCAAGGCAAGAGGCCATGGCAGCTGGGGAGACTTACCCAGGAGATATTCCCTCTGAGGTCGACTGGAGCCCCTACTCCTGGCTGGCTGCCAGATTTGTTAGTGGAAAGGCTAGGTTTATTTACCCCAGAATGGAAGCCCCTTAGTCATCTAGGAGCAAGGCAGTGGTAGAGAAATCACTTGTACTAAGTAGAGCTAGCTGATTAGAAGATGGAGGGCCATCTTGCCCTGAAGTTGATTTAGAGGCAGTTATAGAAGATGGTTCATCACAGACTGGTGGGCACCTTCTCACAGGTGGAGGTTTGTTACTGAATGACACCCATCTGGTCGTAACTGCCTCCTCACCAGATGCTTTTCAGTTCTGCAAAGATCATTATTTCCTCAGGCTATTCTTGTCACTGATTAGTTTGCTCCTGTGCAGCTCCCAACCTATTACACAAGGGATGAACTAGAGTGGTTGACCCAGGCCCTTTTGCTAATCACCAGACTCCTAATGAAAGAAAACAAACTTCATCTGATTCTTTTGGAAGACAAGTGTCAGGTGAGCTTAACAGGGAGTTGGATATTCGATCTGGCCTCAAGGCTCAGCTTCATGATCACTCTAGTTTCCTTAAACTACATTATACCCTACCTTTCTCTTAGATCATAGGAATGTTTGACAGATTGTTAGAGGAAAGAGGAATGTGTGGAATCAGAAGTAATCTCTATGTGTCTACCATTGGTGGGTGGGTGGTTATTATCTTTCACCTATTGGGTCTGTTTTGAAGTCAGAATATAAGAGAACTGGAGTGAAGATCTTGAAAGCCCACCTGAAGATACCTCAGATCTCATGAAGGATAAGCAGTGTCAATAACAATAGAAGAAAAACTTTGGACAGATCCTTCATACATTGGTGATCTCAGAGAACAGGAACAATGGAAAATTGGCTGACCAGAGAAAACCTCTTTGGAACTGGAGTCACCTGTTCTACACAACCATGGCGTCTGGAACCATCCTAGGTGTTGGAAAAGTCCATCAGTCACAGGCAATTCCAAATCAGCAGTATTAGTGACATTTTTGGAAACAAGACTTCTGCTCATTATTCCACTTGCCCTCCCTTTTGCAAGGGACGTCTATGCCACTCTGTCTAGGAGACATCATAAACTACTTGAACTTTTCATAGGACTTTGCAAGCAATTCTTGAATTTGAAAGATTTTGCCACATGATTTCCAATTTTTTAAAACCAAGGTTTACTAAAATTGACCAAACATTTGTCCTAAACGGGTTTCTGACAACAGACACATAACTTCTTAGTTGTCTCCTCAACCTTTTCATCATTTGTTAAATTTGCAGCAAAGCAGCAGAAAAAAAAACTTGTAAAGAAAAATGAGATTCATTTTTATAGAAGTTTGCCTATAATTAATGCTGTACTGATAATCCTATCTAAAGGCACAGAGAAATCTACTTGGGGAAAGAAAATGAAAAAGAAGAAAAGAAAAAAWGGTTTCTTTCTGCTTGATTTCTGGTACCTCTACAGGAGGGCATAAGGAATTGAAGAGTTTTTCTTTGGTGGATAAATAAATATGAAGTGCTCAGAAGATGAAACCATGCTATGACTTCAAAGTTTTGCTGTGAGATTTAAAAATTTTCTTGAAAAGGAAGTTAAAAAAATGCATATGAAATATCTTCGTTAGTGACCATGAGAACGTCAAATGCTATTGTCTGAATTGGTCCTCTTCATCCCTGATACAATAAAGTGGAATTTGAGGAAGGGTCACGCAGCAGAGAAAGGGAAAGGAAGTAGGGCTTCTATATGTGGTGCAGTGTGTTCTGCCCATGCGTGAGTTCTATTAATGGTGGCTTTTGTGAATTTTCTAAATGACATATAGTTCTTTCAGTGTTTGTAAGGAAAGAAAACCATCATTTTAAATTAAGTGGTTTGTTTTGAAACATGTACAATGGAGTCCTTTTATTTGCTCCTTATGGATAGGGAAAGGCAAACACATAAAGGGGCCTCATAAAGTTTCCTGTGCTTATTCTAAGAAGCAGAAGACTGTAGAAAGCAATGAGAAAATCGATGTGTGACAAATAGAAGTACACAATCCAGGTTGAAAAAAGGAGGTACTGTTCCTACTGAGACTCTGATAATGAAAGCCTGTGGGTCCCCTTTCAGCACCTTGATCTTCTTAAGGAATGAAGAGCATTAGGATTCCAAGTTGGGTCACCTTTTTGCATTTTTTTCTATACTCTCAAAGGGGTGATTGTTGCTGTCTTTTTCAATTCAAAAGCATTTGCAGAGTGTTTTATTTGAGCCATTCTGTTGGGGTCTGAATATTGCCTTCTCGCTGTGCCTTGAGAGGAGAACTTGCCCTGGAGTTCGCCCCTCAGGTGGGCAGCACCCAGCCTGATGGCTGGTGCTCCAACAGGTGAGTGAGAATGTGCTACATTAGAATCAAAGAGGTCCTGAGACGCAAGATCCAGGCAGGTTCTTCTCTACAAAAAAGGAGAGGCAAATTCTCCTAACACTTAATTTCTTGGATGAGTTTTTTGAGAAATAATTTTATGACTGCTCCACTGATTCTCTGCCACTATGAAACACTGAGAAATAAATACACATTTGAAAGTCCTATTTCTTTCACCTCACACGTGGGTTAGTAGGAGGGAGAAAAAGACTCATCCATATGCCCTCCATCGGTTTTAAAAAGATATTATGGGAGTAGTTGTTTTTATTTTTTAACTTTAAGAAGTTAGCTATTATTGGCTTATAAGTGAAGAGAAACCTGGTTTTTGCAATCTAATGGCCCATAGGATAGTTTATGTAACTGGTATAGATTGACCTTTCAAATATGTTAGCAGCTGGACCTTTTGTGAGTGTGGGCACAATGATTGAGGGGTACTGCCAAAAATTAGTAGACCAGAACCAGAGAAGCTAAACAACTTGTAAGACATGAGGCAATCCCCCCACATGAAGAATTATTCTTCCAAAATGCCAATGGTACCCTTTTTCTGGACTCCTTTGTCCAATATTCATATAGATGTATATATATATATATATATATATATATATATATATATATATATATATATATATATATATATATATATATATAAATTTAAAAGTAAATCTCTGGAGTTAAAACTAAAATCTCCCTACTGGTAATAAATACAGTCTACCTCCTGAAAATTTACAACAAGCACCATGTTTCACCAATGACCAGTACCTCTACATCCTTTAGGACAGTGCTTTTCTGTTTCTGCCTTCCTGTATAAGCTGCAGTAATGTCAAATTATCACACTGTGTACTTGTGATCTATGGAAATATAGGTCTACTTGGAGATAGACCAGCCTCTTCCAAATTTAAAGAGACTACTACTCTAAAGAAGTAAAAAGCTAAATCCTAGAAAAGGAAAAAATTTAATGACTTTATTAGCACTTCTATTTGACAGTTAGTTATGAAGCAATTATAAAATAAGATCCTATGGCTTTATAGCAGTTTGGGACCTTATTAGGAAACTCAAGAGTAGAAAGCACTCTGTTTGTGCAATTCAGTGGCTTTATCTGTTACTAACAGGTAGTTAGTAACCTAATGAACTGAGAAATTTGTACAAAGAAATTGTTACATTTGACAGGAGGAGGGTAAACACGTCCTTATTATACAAATATACAAATTATCATTTTGACGCCAGATGCCCTGTAATCCATGTGGAATAATGTATTTTTTGCATTATATTAAAATCTGAAAATTGAATTTAAACTATGCAAAAACAAATAGGCAGGGTTTTTTTTGTATTTACGGAGATATTTTTCACTTCAAATTAGGTCACAGTCTTGTTAATCCTCTTATTAATCAAAAATTCATATATCTTTTCTTATTTTTCTTTCTTCCTCTTTTTTAGCCTATTAAGTACTTACTGAGATAGCTTGAGGGTCAACTTGACAATTTTTATATGATAGTGAGGCCTATTAAATAAACCTTAGATAATAAATGTTATTTTACTCCAGAAATGTTTAAATAATGGATTTGGAATGGTGCTTTCATGTGGCCCTAAGTTCATTCTTCCTTGTGGTTCACATATGTTAAATGAAAGCCACTTAAAGAAATCCTGTAACTATTTTAAATTTGAAAATTTGAATATGTATCAACTTAGGACATTTTGCCCCATGTTCAAGCCACTGTTCTTTCTAGGATCTAGGATTTTATCAAACATCTTTAACATAGTTTTCAGATATGAATTTGTGAAATATCCTGATCTATGTATTCCCAATATATTTCCTTATCATATATCTGTTATTCCATTATGTTCATGTTCATGTTCAGGTCACACCTGTAAAGCAAAAATATAACTGTGTGGTGATACATTGCTATTGTGATTTAGATAATGTGTACACTGTATGGTCAAGTCAAAATTGACAATGAAAACCCAGAAACTGATGTCTAACTCTCAACAGGCATRGGGGAAAAACATCATATGTGCTATTCATAGGGAGATTAAATTTTCTCCTCCTGACATGTTCTGTTGTAATGACAAACTTTTATGACAAAACACAGCCAAGTTAGGGCCTACTGTTTCCTACTGAGATGCTGTCCTACTTAGATCCTTCCTGTGTTTCTGCATGGTTCTGTGTGATTGTCGTGTTCATTTGAGACTAGGAACAATGTTTAAGCTATTGTATAAGCATGAAAAAAAATCAGAAATAAAAACTATTTACCATCACTGTGAAACTCTTACAGCTCAGAACCTTTTCTTCAAATTATTATGTGAATGCTAATATATAAAAAATATAAACATATTTGGGGGCTTTTTTTAAAGCACAGGTAAGGACTCCTAGGGTACAAATTGCCTTGGAATGTCTAGCTCAGGCAACAAGAAGCATATTCTAGAACCAGAATGATTTTACCTTAACATGTACACAGGTCTTAGACCAAATTCATTTTTGTTAAGTGTGTGTGTGTGTGTGTGTGTGTGTGTGTGTGTGTGTGTGTGTTGGGGACAGATAGAGCCCAAGGCCTTGCACATGCTAGAAAAGTGCTCTACTACTGAGCTACACCCCCAGCCTTGCTACAGTATCTTAAGATGATGAAGTATGCTTGGGAGGATCCCCCAATCTCCCCTTGTTCTCTAGCATTGGTGAAGTTCCTGGTCCTTTGGATTTATAAACTTCCATGTTAAAACACGGAATTGCTGTTCTAGTTTTATTGTAAAAGATATTGTGTTGTTATAGTCAGCAATTTGAACAAAGACCTGACTCAAGATGAGCTGACTCACATGTACTCTTGCTGTCATTTATTGAAATCCTGAGCTGTTTGTTCCTTTCATTTCCTTTATTTGATAGGATAAGGTTCAGAGCCTTGTAATATCTTGTCCTAATGTTAAGCAGAACTTTTTCAGTATTCTTCTTTTATTTAGCCTATACCTAGCCTCCAGTCAGAATTTCTATTGAAGAGGACTCTTACACCTTGTCAKTGTCATTTGAAAAAGATACAAATGATCAATTTGAGTTCAGTATCAATTTCATTGGCAAAAAAATCTATCAAGAATTTGACTACTTGGACATTTTGTATTAGTTATGTATTTTTAAGATCCTAATTGTCTTATCACACCAATCTGATATTTAACTAAATATGTGCTTCATGCAGAACAGATGGCTAATATATGATTTATGTTAAGTAAAGAAATCACATAAACATCTTGACTCTGAAAATGGTTCTTGTATGGATTATGTTGCCATAGAACACTCTTACTTTTTCCAACTCTTTTTATCTCTCCCTTAGGCTACCGAGGACAAAAGGGAGAAAGAGGTGAACCTGGAATTGGATTGCCAGGTATTCCTGGGACTTCAGGTAATAGTGATGCTATCTCCCTAACACATGATCCATGTTGTCTGTAGGAAAAGAGAATGGATAGTATGTGTTCTGCATTCTAATGGGATCCTTTTTTTCATTAGCTATGGGTTTGCCAGGCTCACCGGGTACTCCAGGGCCCCAGGGCCCCCCAGGACCTAGTGGAAGATGTAACCCAGAAGATTGCCTCCATCCTGTGTCTCATGCCCATCATCGGGCAGGTGGGAAATGAGCACACCTGAGGAAGACTTGGTTCCTGAGGATACCTTCCGCCTTTGGAGCTATCTTATTTCTGTCAAACTTTCACAGTTTGTGGGCTGCTTTTTTTTTTCTTTTTAGAATTTTACTGTAAGTCAGACATTAAATGCAAAAGTTTGAATCCTGTTCCTACAATAATTGCAAATTAGTATTTCAGATTTTCCCCAAATTCATTCCATATGTTTTGCCTCATCAATACTATGATTTGTATTCAGTTTTATATGAAACATGCAAGCAAATCTTGTTGTTAGTATTTCAAAAAAAATCATATGATTTGGTAGACGGATGATGTTGTACATTTTGTAGACTTATCATCATGTAATTGACCTCTGATCTCTGAATTCTAAAGTTTCAGACTTGAAGTTTTCTTAGCAATGGAATTTAGTGTCATTGCTAAAAATTTTGTTCACTTTCTTGTGTATTGCTCCTATTAACCTTTTTTGATTACTTTTACAAGAATTCTTATGCCATCCTACATCCATCCTACTTTTGCAGAAAAATATTTAGGCAATAAGAGCTTCACTTTATAACTATGCTTTGAAAAAATTAAAGGAGACTTTTAATCAGGGAACCCAAAAACTCACCATCACCAAAAGCTAAAGTAATTTTTTTGATTCTTTATATAATGAATTTTATTCAGAGCAATCACTACTGGCATGAATACATACTGCATGGGGGAAAAAAAGGAACAAAGTGACAATTGTTCAAGAGTCCCACGAAAAAAGCCTAGCACTATGTGTTCCCTTCACTGAGTTTCTCATTTAATGAAGAGAAGAAAGCTCTTTTCCCTAAGAGGTGTTTGGTGGTGAAGGCACCAAGGCATCTTTGGTACTCGTGAAGTTTAAATGGCCTCGCTTTGGGCCCCTGTACCTGTTATCCTTCTGACCTCATGACCCTCAGACTTTAAGACAAGAACTGGCCACCAAACCAAGGACAGATTTGTAGCAACCGAAGAAGAAACCGACTTGCCCTAGCTGATGAATGTGTGGTGTCAACAAACGCATATTGAGAAGGTGCAGCCCAAAAGCTCCTAAGGAGAATAATGTTTCTCCAGAAGCTTCGGCATGGCAAAGGAAAGCTATGGGACCACACGTGCAACTGGCACTCAGATGAAAGAGCTAACACTCTCCCCAAACCACATCCTCTGAGAGGAAACAAAGACACAGTGATCGTCAACTGTTTTACTACATGGTATTTTTATTGCCTATCTATACACTATTCTGAGAAACTTGTGGTTGAAAACAACATATTTTATAGAGTAGTAGACATGAGAATGTTGCTGAACTTAGCTGGTRGATCCCACAGATGCTGAGAACATACCACCAGAGCCCTCCTGTCTCGGAAATTAGGAGTTCACACCTCTTCAAGGAGCAGTGCAGATTCTAATTGGACATGATTACTTTTGTCTGTTAGTGGAAAAATGAGTTTAGAAAAGCAAGCCCACTGAAATTGGAGATAGCTGTGAACAGAGTTGTGCCTGAGGAGCATGCCTAAATTAAGGCAGAGTTTATTTAAATGCACCCATGATTTGAACTGGTTTTCATTACCGACGAATGAACTGCTGGTCAGGTACTGTCTACATGGCTGTGCATACATACAACCTTTTAGTTATTTCATGTTGAATTTTGCTCTATATTTTAATTCCAATTTATTTATTTTCCAAGGTTATCCTGTTTTTAACTTTAAATTGACTTTCTTTTTATTTTGTTTCTTGTGCAATACCTACAATGGTGCTGTGGTTTAAACTTACACAATTGGAATATGCATATGCATTTTACATATGTATTGCATTACTAAAATAATAATTTATCCCAAAAAGTGTATATAGATTTAAAATTTGGTGCTATCTGTATATTTTGAGATTTTAATTTGTTAAATTTTATGAACACTACAACTTATCCGACACATTAATTTACTTGAATTTGTCATAAAGCCAAACGTTTTATATGTTTTCAAAGAGTATTTTTGCATATTAATAGGTAATTTATCCTTTTGCCTCTTGGCTAATTCAAAAATATTTATYTTATCATTTCAATGTTTTCTTGGACTGTTTTGCCGATGGGTGATCAATGTATTTTGTTTTCTTTAGTCAATCCTTTGTATACATAAAAGATGCAATTCATTTTCTTGTTTTATAAATTCTCATCACTTTAGTGCTACAGAATAAGCCATGCATCCTTTCTTATGAATTGTATAGTTAGGAATCTTTTTCTAAATTGCACAAATGCTTGACTGGTTTATTCCTGTTTCAAGGATTTGGATTTCTTTAGGTAATTTGAATAGGAGAGGAGACAAAATACAATGGTATATGATGCATACTACAAAGTGGAACTGTCACAGTGGCTCATTTTTTCTACATGGAATATTTGACTAAGTTTGACATAACTGTGGAAACAGGACTGTGTTCACATGGTACGAGCCTCTCACCCTGTTGTTATTTATCTTCAAATACTATTTCCTGCCTCCACTGTATTCACCTGATGTGCAAAAAAAGGGGGGGCTGCATAAAAACACTGGGTGCAGCTCAGTGAACACAACACTAGATGACGTAGCCATCTGGCAGATGCCCAGTTCCCTTCAAACAAAGTAGATACTTTGGGCCCCAAGTAGGGGGGGAAATTCTCCTCTGAATAACTTGATGGCTGCCATTTCTCTTGAACTATTTTTGTCCAAAACATTTACTCACTTGCACATAGATGTCAGGGATGGCCACAACAGGGATAAAGAATTATTAAATTTCTATCATATTTGATCAAAATCTTTCTGTGTAAAGAATTTTGACTTCAATTAGTATTTATGGCCTTCAGAATGGAAAGAAAAAAGGAAAAGTAACTAATACCTTTGTTCATTGTTCTTCTCAACTGAGGACAGTATTAGTTCTAACCATAGCAGATACACAGACAGTCGACTTTTTTTAACTCCTCACCTTGATGGAAGTAATTGAGTGAATAACCTCAGGTGCTTATTTCTGTATTTCATGACATTGTTCAGAATTTTACATTTTAGTCACTTACAGAGCTTAAGTAAATATTTTAGAATACATTGTCTGTAAAATTTGGCATTTGATATTTGGTTTATTATTTCTTGTGAATATGTTTAGGTATCAAATGAGGCTTAGCTTTTTTGCAGTCTCCCTCACTTACTGGGAACCTGTGACATACCTCCTTTTGTTCACAAGATGGTGTTTAAGGCTATTCATTCAAAACTAAGCAAGCTCAGATGTACAGGCAAAGAATAGTTTAATGGTCAACAAAATCAGATTTTTGCTCTTGCGCTTTTTTAAAAAAGACTTTTGTAAATATTGTCTTGTTAATTTAAGTTTTATTTGTTTTGTTAATTTATGCTTTTCCTAATTTAAGTATCTTTATGAAGCAGGCACAGCAGCCTTTGGTTTTCTGACTGTTTCAGTTTTATTTCTTCAGTGTATATACACATAAATATGTACCTATATACCCAGTTAAAGTGCAAGTTTACTTCTGTAACTTCATTTGTATACTACCCTCCTGTTTTAGTGATTAACATGAAGACACCTAAGTAGTCAGTCTGCCTTTTAGACAGGAAAGATACTCACTGTTGACAGACAAGTAAAAGGCATTTAGCGTACCACAAGTAGACAATTTATAAAATCACACGTCTAAACTCCATCTTGAAGATACTTAAGTTTTTGCARTTATATTTGTATAATCTTGCATTTTTCTAGAAATATATCACTATTTATCAATATAAGCTTGGAGCATTATTTTTCCAAATACCACTTTTTTCCTAACATTAGTAATAATATTCTAAGACCCAGAATTCTGAGTTTAAGTGATACATCGAAGTTGTTTCCATGAATCCTCAGAATAGTTTTGCAGATTTGTTCCTTGCTYGTTCTGAAATATTTTTCACACTTGTCTGTACCCACTTAAGACACAGTGCTTCCTGACATGATTCCCCATGTTGTTTCTTAATACATGAGGGTGTTACCTGGTGTAGAGGTACACACTCTACTTTCATACCTCTCATCTCACAATGATTACCTAGGCTTCTAAGAGAAGATGCAGTAAAGAATTTAACCAGTATCTTTTATGCCTATTTACTTCAAAATGGCCTAGCTCATTGAATTGTATTCATATATTAGTTGGCAGGCAAAAGTAGTATTAATTACATTAAATGTGTTCAATTACTAGGAGTCTCAGGAAATAGAATAATTATTTTCATTTTTATTTTCAGATGTAGCTGGAGCTATAATCTGAACATTTCATTCAAAATAGCATGTCAGAGTTAACTGGTCATTTTTAAAAAATGGAATGAAGCACCATGTGAACACAGAGAAAATACATTCAGACAAGTAGGCATAGCACAGAAAAAAAACTAACTGAAAAACACTTATAAGACCAAAGCTAACTCTAAGAAAGTCAAAATGGTAGAAAATTTCAAGTTTAGATCCAATAGTGATTTGTGAATGCTGCATCTTAAGGAATTAGCTACTTGTTTCATGATGTGTGTCGGAGTGAATACTGATGAAGTAGGAAGTCTCACTAAACTTGGGAGGTAGTTGTAGAAGATTTCACAGAAGTGTGTGTGTTGCTTCACCATAATAAGCTGTAACGATGTAGCTATTTTACATTTTATTTTGCTGTATTCTTTAAAGTATACTTTATGGATAAATATCTTAGCATTTTAATGTATTTAAATCCAGATTGTATTATGGAATATTTTATAACTATTTATTTTTAAAATAGCATTTGGGACATATTTTTCTCTATTTAGTTGGTTCTCTCTCTTACCTCATCCAAGTATATAAGGTTTAATTCATTATGCTCATGTTAAGTTGAATGGCACCAGTTTCATTTTAAATCCCAAGTGGATATAATGGATATAATGCTTTGAGGCCTTGATTCCTATATCTTCATTATGCATAATGAGCTTGTTGTCTATCTCAGCAATAAAGGATGTTACCCTAATTCAGGGAATTCTGGGATGTAGTTATTAATGCCATATCTACTTCTCCCCAATTCTTGTGGCTGAAACTCTACACTTCAGTTCTTTTCTGTTAGGTCTCAACTACAGTGAAGCTCCAAAAGCATTTGCACATCAAGGGTAATCCCACAGGCATCCAGAGAACCCTTAATTGGTCTATGGCAGAATTCATGTTTATACCAGACTGGTAATTATAATTTTGTTTGTCACATGAATCATTACTTGGCTTTTAATAAATTTAAAACCTGTTCTCCTGGTAACTCATAAAAAGCCTAGTCCAATGATTTCAGATAAGAATTCCAAGCAGAAACAATCCTTTGGATTGTGGGCAATCCTTTGAAATTTTTGTCTCCCAATGTGATGATCTCACTAAAATCATTGCTATAAAAGGTCCTGAGATAAAAAATATGAATAATTTTTCTTAATATAAGTTCTTAAATCATTAGAAATAAGAATATAGGCAAGCAATAAGTATTTAAATACACAGCATGTTTTCTTAACAGAAATTAATTATATCAAAACATGCCAATGTTTTGTCTATTTGGACTGGGTAGTGACTTACATAGTTCTTAACTATTCTTATCTTCAGATTCTCTTATG